TGGGTGTATTAATCTAAATAATTACCCTGTTTTGTTACACAAAGCAAGATTTTGGTAACTGTAATAAAAACTTACTCCAACCGTTGAAGGCACAACAATTTTTCCACAGCGGCAAAAGTTTTTAGCATAAACAAAATACCTCGTGAAAGTAATCGGATTTGCTAATCATACGAGACATTTTTACGATTGTAAAATTAACAGAATCTTTTGCGACGAGAATTAATAAGAATCGCTTCTGAAATGGGACTCCACTGTGCTCATATCATTTTTCTAGCCGCACAACGGATCGAACGGAGACGAAATAACGACCGTATGATTATGACAAATGCCTTCCTAGTATTTTTCTTTGTATCCTCTCGCATGAATTCGAGTAAAGTTCACGGCGAATCGACGCCCGTCTCCTCTCGGAGAGCGCGAATTGAATTCAAAGTTTGACGCGCAGTTTTTATCCCGAGTGTCGCTGGCGCCTTTTAAAGATGCAATTCCTACAAGTACATAAACTCCCAGCCTCGGATTAAAGTCACGGTCTCGTCAGCCGAGCGATTCATTTTGCTTGATGCGCAAACCGCCATTCTGTCATTTTCCCGGGTACATTTATCTGGATTTCTTCCGCGATTTCATTGTGCCCCAAAGCTCGCGCTTTAAGCGACATTTTAACGGAAATGCAGTAGATTTTATTTGCCTAAGTTCTGTCGATTTCGCTTTATTCGCCAACGGCCGCGCGGTAAATGAAATTGTCATTAATATTCATTTCAGCCAAAGAGGGAATACATCCGCGAAAAAGACGCGTTTGTTCTATAAATATTTACATTTGCGCGAAATTTCAAATTCCCTTGAAATTATAATAAAATGCAAATATGACCGAGCGATTCGAATAATTTTATTTTACGATTCGAAAATAGGTCGTTACTGCTGTATCGAAATAGCCCGCGACATAAAGTCGCCGTTCGGAAAGTGCCGTTATTATCGGCAAAGGCATTAAATGAATATGCGAAATTTGCATCGATTTCAAAAATGCTGCATTTTATCGAAATGACGTTACGAATTCCCTTCTAATTGCTACATAATAGACAATAAAATTGGAAATTTGCTTATTCCGCAGAATCGCGTATGCATGGTGTATTGACAAAAGTGGGCCGGTATCAGCGAGCGAAACGGACATTTCGCGTGTAACTAACGAAATCAGTGGGAATTACACGCGTGAAACGGAATATGAGTACAACTTGGGCAACGTAATTCTCGTAACGCGCGCAACAACTCAATTGGATTTTTTTTTTGCAAAACTCTACCCCGGGAAATTTAATTATATCAAGTTCGCGTTGTTACTAAGGAACACTTATCGAATAATTAAGTTTCCACGTCTTTCATGTCATTAACGTCGCTCACTACTGTTTCACGGGAAGTTAGGATCTCGCGGAAAAGGAGAAATTTCTCGAATTTGCTAAAACGTAATCAAGAGTCATCCTTAAGCTGCGCGCAAACAGCCAAAGCGACCGACTCGGGGCGGGCACCGCGTTACTTTTTGATGAGCGCCGGAGAGCCGCTCCGTATACGCGCCGGTAAATTAATATTAGCAGAATATCGCCAGGTCGAACAAACGAATAAACACTGCGAGCAGCAATTACGGCGCTTCGCATCTCGGGATTAAACAAGATTGTCATTAAAACTTTCAGTATTAAGACGACAGGATTTTCAGATGCACTTAAAGTAATCAGCGAAGGCGCAGCCGTGGCGGACAGAGAATCGAAGATTTATGTTTCCAATTTCATTAAAACACTTTCACGCAAACAACCCTGCTAACAACAACTTCACGCATTTCGTAAGGAAATTGCGTTTCCCTGTAAATATATATCCCTGATTATCTTTACGTTTCCCGAACGTAACTACAGCTCTGTAATCCTTTACACGTCCCAAGTTAAATTGTCACAAAAGCTACTGTTGTATTAAAAAAGAGAAAACCTCTCTAATATCAACCAGAAATTCCACACTTTGTATCGAATGAAAAAGAAGGAAGTGCTTTCTTTTATTTTTTTAATTGCGTAAATAATATTTTTGCGCTGCGAATCTGCCCCACTTAGCGGATCGATCGGGCCGTATACTCTCCGTTATTGGTACACGCGCGCTCCTCTCCCGCCCATTTTGCCCCGCTACTTTGCCGCCGTTATTCGATGTCGATCCATCTTCACGGGGAAATCCGTCTTCCCGTTCCAGAGCGGCACGACGAATCCAACAGTCAAACTATTTTGCGTCGATCTCGACACGGTGGTGCTGGGTAACGTGACTTTGGTGGAGATCGAACATCCGCCGGAGCTGTCTGCCACCGAGAGGATCCTGTCGGCGGTGGACTTCCCCACGGACAGCCTCGTGTACGCGACTTGGATGAACCGGGTGCAGAACAGGGCGTATTTCCAGCTCTGCGACGTCGACGGTCCGCTGCCGAACTGCACGACAGTGGGTATTTCTTCATCTCCGAGAGGGCGAGAGACGTTCCCAGCTTCCGGCCTCGGAAGATAAGGAGTCCGAGGGGGCTCGTCCGATCTCTCTCGCTCTCCCTCCCTTGCGCTCTTCCTTGAAGCTTTCTTAATTTAGCGGGCGCTCTTCCTTTAGTTGGGCAATAGTATTTTAATTAGCGCGCGTTTGCCCGTGGCTCGGCTAATTCGCAGTCTCGTGCGAGTCTCTCGCGACTGTTTCCCCGGGAACTTTGGCGTTGCAAATTTCAAGTATCGGCAAAGATTTCGCGTTGCAAAATTCCGCGATAAATTTAATCTCGCGTTAAAAGCGTGAAATTAACTTTACGAGATGTTATTCTCTCGCGAAACATTGGTTTTTTTTCTTTTCTTTTACGTCGAACGTACGAATTAGCTGCCGCGTTAAAGTGTCTACGCGGAAAGAAAAGCGGCTCTAAGAAGCTGCAATTACGACGTTCGACTTTCCGTCGTTAAAGAGGAGAGGCAAACGGGTTTCTTTTTACTGGATCACTTTATTAACGCGCTTGTTAGACGCTTGGCTCGTAAATTTCCACGATTTTTGTTTCCCCTTTCGAGAATATACACGTGACACCGCCGCATTGACGCGACAGCGACGAGGTCTTAACGGTGAACCTTTTTTCTTTTACGGACGACAATACGACTTAATTAAATTGACAGAATGCAATTTGCTGACCGGGGAAACATTTGATTGCTCCTAGGCGCTCTCATATGGCGAGAAAAATGGCTGGGTAGAGCAATTCGAAGCGCCTATATTCAGCGAGGACGGTACGTCGTTCCTTCTGATATTACCGCAGAAACAGAAGAACGGCAGCAATTGGCGACACGTTGCGCTGGTTACGAATGCAACCAGCGGCAGGCCGACCACCGCCGCCCTCACCTCCGGCTATTTCGTCGTCACGGAGATAGTGTCCTGGGATCGGGAGAACTCGTATCTGTAAGTACGAACGCAGTCTATTCCGCAAATCCGTATGCCGCTAATTAACTTTCCTCGATTGCTCCGTAGCTTTGGAAACTTGATTTTCGTGACGATTAAATGAATCATTTTTGCAGACTTTGAAATTCACATTGATATGTGTCTTTACTTTTAGAAACATGATTTTCATAATAATTGAATCTGTGACTACAAACGCAGTTCATTCGACAAATCGCTAATTAAATGATTCCCAAATTTTTCCATATTTTTGGGAACGTGATTTTCGCGACGATTAAATGACCATTTTTGCAAGTTTTTTAATTTACATCGATACAAGTCTTTATTTTTAGAAGTTTGATTTTCACAATAATTGAATCTGTGACTACAAACGCAGTCTATTCGACAAGTCACTAATTAAGTGACTTTCTTTCTCCATATTTTTGGGAACTTGATTTTTGCGACGATTAAATGAGCCATTTTTGCAGACTTAGAAATTTACATTGATATATGTCTTTATTTTTAGAAACATGATTTTCATGATAATTGAATCTGTGACTACAAACGCAGTCCACTCGACAAATCGCTAATTAAGTGCTTCCCAAATTTTTACATATTTTTGGGAACATGATTTTCGCGGCGATTAAATGAACATTTTTGCAAGTTTTTTAATTTATATCGGTACAAGTCTTTATTTTCAGAAACTTGATTTTCACAATAATTGAATCTGTGACTACAAACGCAGTCTATTCGACAAGTCACTAATTAAGTGATTTTCTTTCCCCATATTTTTGGGAACTTGATTTTCGCGACGCTTAAATGAATCATTTTTGCAGACTTTGAAATTCACATTGATATGTGTCTTTACTTTTAGAAACATGATTTTCATAATAATTGAATCTGTGACTACAAACGCAGTTCATTCGACAAATCG